CAGGAGTCTTCTAAGACTTGTTTAGCGACAAGTTTTATGATGCAGTCTTCCTCCGCTCGTATTTGAGTTCCCACGTTCTTTTCGCACAGATACCAGGTGCTTAACTTCGGGCGTTCTGCCTCTATGTACACATGATTTTTTTTCACCTGTTGCTATATATGGATGGAATGGGATTAGGGCTTGGTTATGTTTATTAGGTACGATTGATAATCGATATAGGTTATATATGTCTAGGGAAACTATAGGAAACCTAAAAACTATAACTATTCTATCTTCAGTATAATATGATGCAGTTTTGATTACATCATAGTATTCTCTAAGCTCTAATCCTAGGATTTGTTCTTTATTATATATTTTCCTTAATTTATCTATCATGGATCTTAAAATAATTATATCTAACATTGAATGATGTGCGCTCGATGCGCGTATAAAAGCTAATGTATTTTCTATTCTAAGTAATTCCGTTAATAAGTCATCTATATTTTCTCCTATAATTTCCAATAATTGCGCGAATTTAGCGTACTTTATCAGGCTAGAGTCTCTGTATGCATTTTGGTCTAGAATAATTTGCAAGGTGTCATTAATTTTGCGTTGATTATTTGCCAATTCTATTAATATCAAATTGTGTCGAGACATCCATTCTTTACTAATACTTATGTGGTTATTGAAATCAATGACTACTATAGTTTGACTATCCTGTAAAGTTTTAATAGCGTGATCATATTTTAGGGCATCAGAATAATCTAGATTTCCAGTTATGCTTTTTATAATAGAGCCAAACCCGTTTACAAGGCCTCTTTTAGCACGAGATGGTTTTAATGATTTTAATTGGTCTGTTACCTTATCAAGCTTATTGGTGAGATAATTAATTTGGGTTTCATACAATAAGTAAGTTTCATTGTCAAGTTGAGTCTGGAAGGTACGCAGTTGGGTCTTTATTGTGTCAGTTCTGTCTTCTATGTCACTTAACTTAATATATACTGTATAAAAGTATGATAATTAGTCGTTAGTCGTGTCGGTCCAAGTTTGTAGGGTAATTAAAGGTTTCAATTTTTATCTCCTGAGGTAGTATCATTTTTATCGTCAACAGTAGAAGTATCCTGAAACAATTTTGCTTTAGGAACACGTTTTAACCTATTTTTAGCTACCGGGCCGCGTTTCTTTGATGTATAAATATGTATAGGAAGATCGGCTAAGACGGTATCTT